TAAATCAGAGGTTCTATAACATATATCTATAAAAAAAAAACGTGTTAGACTGAACAAATGTCTACGCTGAAACTGTATATGACAAGGAATAAGGAATACAATAGATAAATAAATGATAAATAAAAATAAACATGTAAAGTTGTCACAAAATAACTGAATGGTCACAGAACTACACAGTTCACAGAATTCAAAAGACTTGTTTGGTTCCAAAGAAATATTTACCTGGTAAATATCTAAAGAAAAATTGTTAATCATTTACCATTGTTTTCTTTGTCGTTTTGTCATTGGGCACAAAGTGAGGAGTACAAAACAAGGTATTTAGTTAAAACATCAAAATAAACAAAACTGTAGTTTTGACAAAATTATGTAGATTTTATGGTCTATAGAGGACATCTTATTAGTTTGTCTTTTAATGGTCTTTGGTTTGCGAAACACCGTATACTTACACGCTAAGATGACCAAACTGTTGGTACAACAACAACACTAGCGCACAAACAGTTATAACAGATCGTGGTCAATTATAGGTTCAATAGAAGATTGGATTCAAAGTCAAAGTCAAAAGTTTTATTTAGAGTCGGTACATGGTATAACAATACAACATTAGCTCTAAGGAGCTATTAAAACCGACTAACATACAGGACATACACATTGCATAATAAAACAGTTACAAAGTCAATACTTAACTCATGCATCACATTTCATTTTCAGCTAGGTTAGAACTATCATTTGTAGTTCAAACACAAGAATATTAATTTTTTCTTTTGCTTTCGTCTTTTTCGTTTGTTTACTTACAAAAGTGTTTTTTTCAGTAAATGACATCTGTGTAAAATTAACTCTAATTTATTCGGGTTCTTATTGCGGATAAGGATCATTTTGATACAATAGTGACTGTTGCTATAACATAAAAAGTATCAAATTAATTTAGAATTATTTATTTACGTCCATCAGAAATAGGAAAACTTCGTTAACATTAAAAGTAGTAATTAGCATATTAAATGAATGTTTATAGATTAGTGAATGAGCAGACAAGTATACAACATTGTTAGGTCGTATTGTTTTAAGTAGCAAAATACATGTATATAAGGTACAACGTACAAAGTTGTCCTAAGCAGTTTGGTGTCATTTGACTTCAAACTAATTGACAACTTCCTGTCTTAAATGTGGGTTTTATTTTACTATGATTGACAGTCTTTTGATATTAATGGAACAACTGATGACGACGTATGTAACGGTGTCTCGNCACAAAACAAAGTATTTAGTTAAAACATCAAAATAAACAAAAGTGTAGTTTTGACAAAATTATGTAGATTTTATGGTCTGTAGAGGACATCTTATTAGTTTGTCTTTTTAATAATGGTCTTTGGTTTGCGACAAACCGTATACTTACACGCTAAGATGACCAAAATGTTGGTACAACAACAACACTAGGGCACAAACAGTTATAACAGATCGTGGTCAATTATAGGGTCAATAGAAGATTGGATTGCGTTCAAACACAAGAATGTTATATTTTTCTTTTGCTTTCGTTTTTTCGTTTGTTTACTTACAAAAGTCTTTTTTCAGTAAATGTCATCTGTGTAAAATTAACTCGAATTTATTCGGGTTCTTGGTGCGGATAAGAATCATTTTGATACAATAGTGATTTTATGCTATAACATCAAAAGTATCAAATTAATTTGAAATTATTTATTTACGTCCAACAGAAATAGGAAAACTTCGTTAACATTAAAAGTAGTATACAACATTGTTAGGTCGTATTGTTTTAAGTAGCAAAATACATGTATATAAGGTACAACGTACAAAGTTGTCCTAAGCAGTTTGGTGTCATTTGACTTCAAACTAATTGACAACTTCCTGTCTTAAATGTGGGTTTTATTTTACTATGATTGACAGTCTTTTGATATTAATGGAACAACTGATGACGACGTATGTAACGGTGTCTCAGTCAGCAGGTATACTGAGCAACACACAGACATATATAACGGTGTCTCGGTCAGCAGGTATACTGAGCGACACACAGACATATATAACGGTGTCTCGGTCAGCAGGTATACTGAGCGACACACACAGATATATATATGAAACATTATGTATATATGAAATTGTCAACTAACACCATCAAATGAAGTGAGTCGTGTACCTTTCATGAAAAATGCAAACAACTAATATTTTTGTAAAGAATTCTACGAAATTATAATAAACTAATAACTACTCATTAGTATACAGCGAGTGATATACAAGTTACAAATTTAGCAGCTGTTACTTTTAAACGCTCCACTCTAGAAGTTTTGAATATATTCCAGATATAAGCAGGGCGGTGTCTGAAGGCATTAGACGGGGTACATGCCTTAACCTGGCATCCTTCTTATAACGTCATTATTGTGTCCCTCGTTTTGTAGAACTCTTGCCTTACAAATAGCTTAGTTTGGTTTGTTTCAGTAAACTGTAGTAAAACAATCATACACACATCTTTATAATGTTGTTTTAGATGTAAGCAACGCAATCCGGACCACCTTTCCATATGTTGTTCATGTACTTTATCCGTGACAGACAAGCTAACAGTTTGGAAATGTCATCACAAATCTTTACAATTATAATTTATGGTATCCAATTAATGACTGCAGTTTGCTGAACGCTAAAAATACATTAGAACACGAATAATTATTATGATTATGATTATAGAAAGCACATATACAAACACACATTGTCATCAGTGTTTGTGCTTACTCTCAAATTCACTTATGAAAGTTTTAAAATTCAAAAGATATTTATACAGTGATGAATAAAGTAGAAAACACAAATTATCAAAGCATTTCAAATATCGAACTTTGCACATAATCAGCTTGTCTGCCCGAGGTAGTGGTACAGTATATGATAGAATAAGACGACCGTCCCTGCTCAATAACCACTCAACGGAATCGGCTTTCCGCACAATGGCATTTCAATATATCTAACAAGCATCTTTATAGAATTGGGCATCACACACACTGCATTTTTCACCGTTTAAAGGTACCTAATTTCACAAACTGCAAGCTGTTACCATATTCTACAATGTAAACCATACATGCAAGAATACACATGCCACTGGTGGGCGGGAGGACTGTGTCATTTTGAGTCATAAAGCATTTAATTGATTATAACTCGGTTGACTGAAGATCATATCTACATCAGTTTTTATATATCATAATATGAGTCTATTGATAACTTGCCATTTATGTAAGATCGTAATGTCATAAAACATGGTTAGCTGGAAACTGATGTTAAAACAATTTGTGTATAGCTTATGGAGTTTATTTACATTTTAACATATCGTGTACACGCTAAAGTTAATTTTAAGATTCTAGTTTCCCTTCCCCTATTTTATGCATATTAGTAGGTTAAAGTAAGAAGAACTACAATCTGCTTCTGGATTTAAAAAATCTTGTCAGTTAATATTTATTCGAAATGCCAACATATATTTGACTTCTGACATTAAGATGCCTTTTATCTATTTGATTTATTGTTGCAATAAAATAAAGATTACACAAACATAGTAAAATGAAGGTAAAATGTCTGAAGTCTTTGTGCGGAGATATGAGGATGTGTAATTGTTGGGTGACAGTTTATGGAGTTCGTAGACTATTATATTTCGTTTTCCTTGTATCTGGCGAAATATTTAACATTGAGCTATGAGAATGGGAAGCTAATATTATCAAATTGGTTTTGAGCCACCAAATAAACCACCTAAGGTTTACAACGTTTGTCGTTTTTATTGTAGCTCCAGGATTTCGATGTTTTATGAATTAATGGTGTATGGTCCGTGAGCCTCTGGAATTGGATTGCACTGAGAAATAAACAGAGAGCTTCGACCATGAACCCCCACACAGATGTTGTGGCGTGTTGTACACATGTATTTGTTAATTGATAGTTACAGAAACTTTACCGAAGAAAGTTCAATCTTGAAATATTTCTATTACATATTGTGACTTAGTCCAAATCAAAATCTAAAGACTTCAGACAGCTTACCTTTGATGAATTTTTGTCAAATAATTGCAATAATAACATTCTGAAAGAGCTGTGGCACGCTTGATTTAGTAAAAACAAAGGAAGTCTTAAAAATTAGGAAATAATTCGAATTTAGTTTGACTGGTCTATCCTATACAGATATATATATATAATTTAACCAAAAAACCAACAGCGTACATCATAGATAGATATAAAAGAATGGCATTGCTGTATGTATTTGACAAAACGCATTCAAATCAATTAAGCAAACTGAAATTTGCAGATATTGGTAATGTATCAATTTTAAAATTAAACACTCTATCTAAATAAGGCATTTTCTATATATATATTTGTAGGAAATGTTTCTGTAACTATCCATTAATAAATACATAAAATCAAAACATATGTTATGGGTTAATCACTAATTACTGATTGTTAATATCTTAGGGTAGTCGTCGTTGTTGTCAAATGTTAATATTTTTAATAACTATTATACAAATTCTTAGTCATCCACTAGAAACGAAATCACCGATAATGTGAACCACATAACTATATGTACATGTCCGCCTATGTATAGTTCTCTGATCACTTGTTCCATTTGAAGAATGTGTTAGTGACGTCAGAATACAGTTTAATGGTGTTCTATCAAGGGTTACCTTACATTAACTGTTCGTATCACACCAATGACCTCAGTACACTCAGATTTTCATTGAGCAAAATATCCCTGTATTCCCTGTTAAACTATTTGCTTTTGTATTGGTTTATATGTTTTTAATCTTTTTATTGATGCTTTTTACTAAAATTTCTCTGATTTTATGATTGCAAACGACAGTCCGAATACAGTGGCAAGTTAACCACCATTTCGTATATATGGTCAATATTTGTTCATTTTGGCATATCGGGATCAGAGTAATGCTCATAAGTATAACCTTTATTGTGTATAAAGATTTCTTTCTTTCATGACTTCGGTGTTTTTACTTATTCTCATTAAGATTTGTCTATGTATTTGATTACAGATAGCAGCTTTCTGCTTGCCAATGCCCGGATCGTGGAGTACCCAATAGTGTATTGTAATGATGGATTCTGTAAACTCTCCGGATATAACCGAGCGGAAGTGATGCAAAAAAGTTGCACGTGCAGTTTTATGTACGGTGATCTAACGGACCAGGATACGGTTTTGAAAATAGAACAATCTTTTGAAGGTGTGGAACAAGAACAAGTGGAGATTCTCTTATATAAGAAAAATAGTAAGTGTTCTGCTTATTAATTTACTGTTGTGTAAACAAATTGTCCTAT